TAGTACCACGACCCCTTCTAAACCCAGCCTGGACTTCTGGTAGTTCTCTGCTGATGTGCTGTTCCAGTCGTTTTTGGATAATCTTCAGTATAATCTTGCTTGCATGTGAAATCAGTAACATTGTTCTGTAGTTTCCACAAACTGTTGGGTCACCCTTCTTTGGAACGAGAACAAATATAGATCTCTTCCAGTCAGCTGGCCAAGTGGTTGTTCTCCAGATTTCTTGGCACAACTTGATGAGCACATCCAGGGTAGCTTCTGTTAGCTGAAATACGTCAACTGGTATACCATCTATTTCCGGGGCCTTATTTTTTTGCTATTTCCTTCAAGGCAGCTTAGAAACACAGAAAAAACATAATTTGAAGACAGAAAAGATCTAGTCCAATAAGCCTGAAGAATGAAAAGGAATAAATTTCTAGACTGAACTAAAAAAACCCAACAAATCAGCAGGATGCTGTTACTGAAAATAATAAAAAAAATGTAACCGTGTTCTTCAGGATAACACAAAGCATCTACTAGGAAGACATATGAGCCTTCAGGAAGAAAGACAGGACGCAAAGCAACTTTATTTGCTTATCATAAGCAAACAATATGTCTTCCTAAAAATAAAGAATGTGACAATTCCTTATTTTGTCAGATTCTGTCCCCCAAGTGATTGTTATTAGGTGCCACACAACTCAAAGTGACCCTCTGAACAATAGATCTGAACCTTGCCCTATCCTGTGTCATTCTTATCATCCCTGATACATTCATGTCCATTCTTTTTTTAAATTTTAATAAAAGTTTACAGCAACTTAGGTTTTCCAGTCTTTCATTGTTGCACTTTTCTCCCTGCCCACCCCCTCCCCCCAATTCACTTTTCTCCTTGATGAGTAAAAGAAAAATTCTTTCATTGCTATGCAATCCTTCCCTCCAAGCCTGCTACACTGTAAAGCCTTCAAGACTCCTGTTATGACAATAATACCTAATCATATATCCCTTTTAAATAGTTCTCTGCCTCATCTGTTGCAATGCAGTATACATCATTCCTCCCCTTCTTCTCTGCATTCCCTCAACCCCAATTTAAGTCTATTTTACAATAGTGGCCCTATGCAATATTTGTCCTTTTTCATGTCCATTCTTACTGTCACTTTGTCCACCCATCTTGTTTAGGGTTTTCCTCTCTTTTTTTTGACACTATACCTCTCCAAGTATGTTTTTTGCCTAAGGACTGGCCCCCTTCTAACAACATGTCCCAAAGCATGTGAAACAAAGTTTCACTATGCTTGCCTTCAAGGAACAGCTTGGTTGCATTTTCAAATTCAAAATATCTCATTTGGAATTCCAATATTTAAAAATCCTAAAATTATTTTCTTAAGACTTATTTTGAAGTGAATTCTCATGTTAACTGTAGTCTGTAGTTACCTTAGCGGGTAAATTCACATACTACGTTCAAAGATGTTAAGTGTTTAATAGATGCTGCCCCAGATCACATTAAAGGTGTAAAGAAATTATATCGTATCTAACCTTTTATTTTCATTCTGGGAAACATCTGGATCCAAGAGTTTCACATAAAAAGTAGAACGGTGAAAACTGTCCTAAAAATACTCTTATTAGGCATCTAAATACTTTCATGCATCCATAGATAAATCATTTAACTCTGTAACATCGAATGCTTTCTCCTGTAAAAAGCAAATAATAATCCCAAACTCTCACTATTACTTTGAAGGTGAAAATAATTAAAACGCTTAGCTAAGCGCCAGCCCATAGTGGGTATTCAATAAAAACTGTAATACTATTAGAGTCCACGGCATGAATCCATTCTTTTACTCCTTGAGAGACTGCCTCATCAGATTGGGGGTCTCTTCTGCTCACCTGACTATGAGAACGGACTGCCGAGGTGCACAGTGTGTACGGCGACCGCAGGAGCGGGCTGAGCAGCGCAGCCCAGGCCCTCCCGGGCAGAAGTCCGAACTGGGACATCATGCGACAGAAGGCTGGCTTTTCGGAACAAGAGCAAACAGTCAATGAATGCGGCACTGCAGAGGTGAAGCCCAAGAACCAGGCAGAAGCTGGTCCCTCTCACCTCCTAAATTCCGGAGGTTCAGGTAAGTATCACGAAGATTCCGTAGACGCCGAGCCCCAGAACTTCCTGTAAGAACCGGAAGTGAGCGGATGACGCAGTAAGCAGAGGCTTTCTGGGTGTGCTACACACTGACTCGGTAGTCGTACCGCGGCACAGGTAGCCATCCGTCAGCTAGGGGAAGCAAGTCGGCATGGCAGAGCGTGCGGCCCTCGAGGAGCTGGTGCGACTTCAGGGAGAGCACGTACGGACGCTCAAGCAACAGAAGGCCAGCGCCGATCAGGTGCGCCTTGGGTGGCAGGGACTAGCTGGTCTGGGGAAGAGGCCAAGGGAAGACCTGAAGCTGGGGTGGTTTGTACAGTGAGTACAGGGATGCCGGGGGAAGACAGGGGAGGAGGTCGAGCTGAGTGAGAGTCATTATGAGTCTCAAGAGAAGCCAAGGTAGGCCCAGAGAGAGGAAATTTGCTCTCTATGAAGGAGGGGTATTGAATGAATGGTGGGGGGGGGGAGGGGAGTGGCATATGGATAGCCCAACGCCCCTTTTCTGTGCACAGATCGAAGAGGAGGTAGCAAAACTTCTGCAGCTGAAGGCACAGCTTGGTCCTAATGAAGGGAAACAGAAGTTTGTGCTCAAAACACCCAAGGTAAATTTCATGCTGCTGTCCCATCCAGAAAGGCACATAATACTATTTCCCTAACCAAGTCACTGAAGAGGATCTAAAATATTGCCAAGTCAAGTCAGTTGCTCTGGGCACTGGGCTGGACTGGACTCCACCTGGTATGACACTAAGTGATAGCAGAAACTAGTCTAGCTGGGTGTGCAGGGCAATCTTCTGCTGCAGCTCCTTCTTTCTGCAGGTATTTACTTAGTGCTTACTTTGTACCTAGCACTATACAAAGTACAGAATAAGCATGGTGAACAGTATAGCATGCCCTCAGTGCAGCTTCCATTCCACTGAAGCAGAGATTTAGAACAAGTAATCGTACACTTGGATTTATTCGTACACTTGGATATATAATTACAAATTGTGATAAAATACTAGTGTTGAAATTTTTTTAAGGTTAATTACTTAAGGTGCACCTGATACATGCCATGGTCTTTGCAATCACTTGTTACGCATCAGAGAGTTGGACAGTGACTAGGGAGGACAGAAGGAGAATTGATGCCTTTGAGCTGTGGTGTTGGAGAAGAGTATTGAATGTACCCTGGAGTGCCAAGAAAACAAACAGATTCATCCTGGAGAGGGTTAAACCAAGCTACTCCTTGGAGGCAAGAATTCTGGAGCTTCGTCTGACATACTTTGGGCATGTTGCAAGGAGGGACAGGTCCTTAGAGAGGGACATTATGCTTGGGAGGGTGGAGGGACGGCGCAAGAGGGGAAGACCCTCTATGAGATGGATTGATTCAGTGACTGGGGTAATCGGGATGAGTGTGTCAGAGGCAGTGCCATTGGCACAGGATAGAGCAGGGTTTAGGGCTGTTGTACATAGGGTCGCTATGAGTTGCAAACGACTCAATGGCACATAACAAACAACTTGGGTTCCTGTGTTCATTGAACTGTTCCAATCTACACTTAACTCATTTCAGAAGTTAAGGAAACATTGTAAAATCCCAAGGCCAAACTAAAAACCACACATGCTGCCACCAAGTTGATTCTGATTCTTGGTAACCCTCCATTGGGTTTCTGTGACTATAAATCTTTATGAGAGGACAATAACCCATCATCCTCTGTAATAGCAACTTGTAGATTTTAGCAGACCAACACATAACATACTAAGGCAGTGCAATGATGACTAAAACTATTAGGTTAAAAAAAAAATCAGTAGAGAATTTTTGATAAGTCATGCCAATCTTACTTGGACTCAATGATCAAACTTAACATCACTAAAAGTAGGACAAACCAACATTATGTTTCTTCTGATTTGATGGAATAGAAAGAACACAGCACAGTCTGTTGCCATGAGAAATTGAATCTGAGTCCAATCAGGTCTTTGAATCTGTCAGCTTACAGAAAATATGTTCTCTCAGCTCATTGGCATCAAGTCACAGTTAGCTCATAGTTGACTCTCTGGTGAGTTTTCAGGGACTATAGATCACTGACTTAGAGTTCACAGATGAGATTCCCCGTCTTTCTCCTGTGGAGCTGTTGATAGATTTGAAATGCCAGAGAGGCACTACCTTTGGGTAGGGAGCACAACTCCCTACAAACTATGCCACTGGAACTATCTATAGAAAATATGAGAGATATTAAATAGTATTTAAAGGATATCCTTAGCCAACCCTTGTAGTTGTTGTGTACCATCAAGTCGGAACTGACCCATAGCTGACTCTCTGGCAGGTTTTCAGAGGCAGTTAATCTCACAGGAGGAGATTGCCCCTTTTCTCCCACTGAACAGCTAGCTGGTGACTTCAGACCAAGTGCCTTCGTGATTACAGCACAGCTTCTTGCCATTAGGCAATTGGAACTCTAGAATGTGAATTCTTTAGGACACATGACACAATTTCCTTAATAAATAAATGACAGTTTTTAAAAAAGATTGAGGTGCTAGTAAAAAAAAAGAAATTAGAGATAAGAGACATCAATCAAATACACTGTATATACTACACTTAGAATCTGATTACAGACCAACTAACCAGAAAAAGTTACTTTTGAGGCAATCAGGAAAAACGGAACATAGATCGGGCATTAGATGATAATAAAGAATTTTTCTTAATTGATTATAGTAAATATAGTGAGGGTTTTTATTTTGTTTTTTAAGACCTTATATATTAGAGAATCATACAGATGTTTATGTGTGGGATAATAAGGTAGCTGAGATTTACTTTTAAATATACTAGAAAAAGAATTAGTAGAGCTTGGGTGAAATAAGAATTCCAGATGCTGATGATGTTGAATGGATACATGGTGGTACTTTGCACTTTTCTTTTTATTGGATGTTTGAAATGTCCCATAATATTAAAAGAAAGTAAAATTATGAAAACTAATAGCTCATTGTTGATATATATGTGATTCAAATTAATAGCATAAAACCTACTATTGGTATGGAAGTAGTTTTGACCCTGAAGACCTTTTCAGAGAGTCTTGACCAATGGTACTGAAATGTTATGACACCTTTTTATTATGATGGTGTTTGCACTGAAGGTCCAATTGTACTAAAGTGCAAGATTTAACTTTATATCTTGAATCTTAACCCTTGAGTATACTCCTTTTTTGAATAGTCTAGATGATGAAATGGGAAATACATTTAAAGCACTTCCTGCTATATTCCAAAAGTGGGAAAAGCATTTGTGCCATTTTGTGAGGACAGACTGAACTTGTTGCTTATTTCTTTCTTTTTTTTATCATTAAAATATTTTAATGCATGCTTAATGAATAATTTTTTTTCACAACAAAAGTATGACATACTTCCCAATACAGGTTAAATTTATCAGATCATGGCAAATTTTTTAACTCCAAACAGTAGAATTCCAGTGAACCCAGCTAAATAGGTGTGCCATCATTTATGCAAATCCTTACAGACCCAACTTCATTCTTTTCCAGTGTCTCCTCTTGGAGTTGTATCAGATTTTGTTGCTAGTTTTCATTGGGGAATGAGATGATTCTACCTTTGTTTCTTGGCTAGAGCACTCTTGATCCTGAAAGTCTTATGAGAAGGCATATTGAAGATGGGAGGCTGCTGCACTCAACATGATCACAGTTTCCAAGAAGGTTATCATCGGACTACTGGTTGCTTTTTTTATGGAACATCTTTTCCATAAAGAGACAAATCACACTTTTCCAGGATTGGATATCTGGGAGTTATTTTCATAAAAATGGAGCAGCTGAAACTTGTTGTTACCCCAACGAAAGCCTCTGACAGCTTTACAAGTGATAAAATTTATCAAGTGAAAGTTAGAAATTTAGAAAACCTGTATCTTTCACTCTGAGCTGGACAGTTTCCCAGTACTTCTCCTGAAGATATAGTTATGGTGATACTAATAAACATAATTTTGCAATAGCACGTAATGAAATGTATAAACTATTAGAAGGGTGCCAACATATTCCAAATGACTAATGTATTCTTTTTCAAAATCATACATAGCTAAAAAGGTCCATCTATAGTACAAAGATAGGACAAAGCATTGAAATTAAACAATATGAAGAGATCACTGATTGAATTCCAGATTTCACATTGCAACCTATGTTGATTAAACTACTTGCTTCATTTCATTGTAGTAGAGGAATATTCACAGTTGACTGAAAAGATTATTAAAATATTTTTCTCTTTTACCACTATTTATCTGCATAAGGTCAGATTTTCTTAATGTACTCCCACCTGTACAACCTATCACAACAGATCGAATGCAGAAAGCTCTTATGAGAACCTAGCTGTCCTCTAGAAAGCCTGACACTAAAGATATGCAAAAATATCCCTCAGTGCCAGTCTTCTCACTAAACACTTTTGTTTTGTAAAATCGTTTCATATTCTTTACATATTTTAGGTTAATAGTGGATTAATACATTAATATTTTTAATGCATTCATTTTTAAAAATTATTTTCATTCCTAATGCAGAAAATACTGATAGACATAGTCCATTTTGAGATCCTTAGTGCAGAGAGTTCCTTAGTACAGAGAGGTCCTGAGCCCATACAGTTTGAGAACTTCTGGGGTCAGGTGTGCAAACCTAGACCAGGAGCTCTAATCTGGAAGAAGAACAAGAGTTTTCTGGTCCTGACTGCCTTGAATTTGACAAATGACCTGAAGTAATGAATTAACTTCTCAACATCTTCTGATTCAACTTTAAAACAGAGGAACAGATTAAAAACTAAAGATTATTAATAGATAAAAAGAACAGTTCTATTGGAGGGGGGGAAATTGTAAAATTTAGAGTTCATTTAAGCTATTTTGAGCTGACTATGAGCTTATCACAGCAACAACATGACCATGTAAGCGAGTATGGTCTTTTAGACAGAAAAATGTCCTTTTTATCCCAGAGAGTCACAGAAGAGTCTCCCTAGACATATAAAAAAATAGAAACAAACTAAAATAAGGGGATAGATTTAGAAAGGGATAGCAAATGGATATGGGGATTAATAGGACCTGTACTGGCACCACCAAGAAGAACAACCTGGTGAACTGCTTCTCTGGATCAGCAATTCTGCTCTAGAACATGAGTCCCCTTGAGAAGTCATTAACTCAGTGGCAACAGGTTTTGTTTTGTTTTTTTTGGTTTATATGTATTTGTTTTACAGCTCAGAGGCCTATAGTAAAAGCTAAGTCTGTTGCAGGATTTGCTTTCCTTGTCATTGAGGTCATCCCTTTATATTTCCAGATCTTACATGTTTGATTTTAAATACATTCCCCATTCTTTTGACTACTTTTTACTCCCAGGGCACAAGAGACTACAGTCCCCGGCAGATGGCAGTTCGAGAGAAGGTGTTTGATGTGATAGTCAACTGTTTCAAGCGGCATGGTGCAGAAGTAATTGATACACCTGTATTTGAACTAAAGGTGAGGGATGGGCAAGGAGAAATGGCAGAGTGTGAGAGTGGGTATATGAACAACAGATAAGATTGATAAGAAAGAACCCACAGTGCAATCTACAATAGACCCCATTTCTTATGTGGAGACAAATGAGCATTTTCTCCAATAAGAGGAGAAACAGGATTGGTCTGGAGAGACTGTATTTTCCTTGTGACCAGCAACTTCCAAAAGAAAGCTCTTCCTGGGCATGAAAGTTGTTTATTTTTCTTAGGGCTCATGTCTTCACATGTTATGGCCCTTATACTTGAGATATTTTCTAGGTACACATAAACCTCAAATATATGAAGTATAAATATGCATCCAGTCTCCTCTGTCAGTTGAGCTGGAAGTTGCTTCTAGTTCTGTGTTGTTATAAAAACAGCCTGGATTTAACACCCAGTACTTCTGTTGCATTTTTAATAAAATTCAAATTCTTCTGGGTCTTTCCAAACCCTGTGTCATCTGCATGATCTGGCAGCTGCCCACCTTTTCACCTCATCTCATGCTGTTCTTCCCCTTCTACACTGTACTAGTCTGTTCTTTATATTCATAGAACATGTAAGTGTGTTTTTACCTCAGGGCCTCTGTTCTTGCTTTTCCCTCTCTCAACTCTTTGAATGACTTTAATTTAAATTACATTAAATTAGACATGATACATTTTAATTTTCAGATCGTGACTAAAATGCCATTCTTCACAAAATCCTTTTCAACTTGTCCAAAGTAGCCCTCAACTCTATCACATTGACTTGTTTTATTTCCTTTAGTGCAGTTTATCACTATCTGAAATGATCTGATCATTTCTTTCCTTGCATTAACATACTGCCTTAACTATGGAACATCATGAGGGCATAGACTATGTTTGTCTTATTCATTGACCTTGTTATTTGCCATTGAGGTGGCTGACTCAGTGACCCTGTGCTGTACTCCCAATTTCTTAACATGCTTTTGCTCATTGTTGCAATCACTGTCAGTCCACATTGCTGGAGCTTTTCTTCTCTGTTCATCTTCCTCTGTTAATTGTTTTACATGTGCCTGATTCAGGCCATGGTCTTTGCAATTACTTGCTATGCGTCAGAAAGCTGGACAAGGCTAAGGATAATAGAAGAATTAATGTCTTTGAACTGTGGTGCTGGAGAAGAGTATTGAATATACCATGGACTTCTAGGAAAACAAATGTCCTAGAGAGGGTGAAAGCAGGCTACTTCTTGGAGGAAAGGATTCTGAAGCTTTGTCTGACATACTTTGGACATGTTGCAAGGAAGGATCAGTCCTTGGAGAGACGTCATGCTTGGGAGGGTGAAGGGACAGTGCAAGAGAGAAAGACCATCAGTGAGCTGAATTGACTCAGTGACGGGTAATGGGGGTAGGTGTGTCAGAGACAATAAGATTGTTACAGGATAGAGCATGTTTTACGGCTGTTGTACATAGGTTTGCTATGAGTCATAAGCAACTCAGCAGCACATAACAACAATAGTTACAGCAATGTCTGGTAATGGTGGGCATATATTTACAGGGTAAATTAAAAGAGAGACTTTCTAAGTCTAAGGTTATGACCAGCTTATACTTTTGCCAACCATATAATATTTGTTTCTACACACTGAAATTTTTAGGCTTTTTAATTGTTGCCAATCTAGTAGGTAAAATATGTTACCACTTTGTTGGAGATGTTATGGTTGTAATGCCTTTAAGACATTCTCAGATTTGACTATGATGTTGTTAAGATTTCGGGCATCAAAAAAACTTTCATGCTTGTCAACCTAGTAGCAATATTCCTAGGAATTTATCCCTAAGGGACCAAAAAAGCTATATTTTCAAATATATTATTGAATGCTATAGAAGAAAATTTTTCTTTTAATTGAAATTAAACAGCTAGGAAAAGAAAGTACACAGCCTCTTCTGAATGGAATATTATGCAGCTTTAAAACTTTGAAATGTGTCATATAACAGAAGTGTGGTAAGTCAAAAGCCAACCTAAAGTTGACGTTTCAGTTTGATAATAACTATATCATGTAAGCATTGCAAGAGAGAGCAGAGCTAAATGTAAACAAGTTAAAGTAAGTCTTAATAGATTGGTAGATTTATCCTTGCAAAACTTTCCCTCCTGTGTAGTTACATTCATCATTATGACTGTGTTTCTTTCTTTATCTCTAGGAAACACTGACTGGAAAATATGGGGAAGACTCTAAGCTTATCTATGACCTGAAGGATCAGGGTGGAGAGCTGCTGGCCCTTCGTTATGACCTTACTGTATCTTTCTAAACCTAGGCTCTTGGTACTTTGTGTGGATTGGCTCCCACTGGCCTGACGCTATCTCTTCCCTCAGGTTGGAGTCAAGCAGACATAGGTAGGATCAAGTATGAGGCCTTGGGCAATCAAGGGAATCATGTCTTTAAGCCAGCAGTAGGACTTTGGTTAAATAGAAAAAAGCCTTAGAAATTTTCCAGGACTGATGAGCTCTGATAGCCTGGTGGCAGGAAGCTGCACTGCAATCCTAGAGGTGCAGTTTGAATCCACCAGATACTCTGCTGGAGAAGGAGAGACAAATCTCCTTCTGTACCAGTCAGATCTGATTTGACGGTACACACACAAAAAATAATAAAATTTAAAAAAAAGACACCTTCCAGGACTTAAATGAAACTTTAGCTAAGTTAGGGCCCAGTTCTGAGTCTCCCAATAATTCCCTGGCTCCAAAATACTTGTCCCCTACTCTGTCCTGTCCTCCTTGAACCCTTCTTTAAGTGATCAACAGAATATTTCTCTTTGGTCCAGGGTATGTCAGAGAGCCATCTATTTTCCATACTGAGCCTTTTCTCTTAGTCTAGCTGCTTGGCCTTCTGCCATGCTCAGCAAAACTCAGTGGTGATGACGCTACCATAGAGCAAGGAACCTTTATCTTGTTTGAGATTTGACTTGCCCCTTGTAATGGTAAAGTTGCATCTTTCTGATATTCAGAAAGGTGAATCTTAAGGATAACGTTTAATTCACCTAGGGAGGAGTTAGAGCTTAGCTTCTGTTGGTGATCATAACCAAGCTCCAGACCATTTGTGGGAGGAGGGACTTTGTCCTTAACTCTTTGTCATCAGGTTCCTTTTGCTCGATATCTGGCAATGAATAAACTGACCAACATTAAACGCTATCACATTGCAAAGGTGTATCGACGAGATAATCCAGCCATGACCCGTGGCCGTTACCGAGAATTCTACCAATGTGTAAGTAAGTGTTGGGAAGCCATGAGAGCCAAGCCAGCAGAGTCTGCTGAGTACAGCAGGTGTCCTGAGCAAATTGGAAGTCCCAGATGATGATAACCCTTAAGTTTCCTGGGTGTTTTCATAGAGATTTCAGAATTGCCCTGTGAGGAGAGTAATAAAAACGGATTATTATTCCTGTTTTACCTGGGAGTAGACTTGAAACTAGCAAGATGAAAAGATCATAGGAATAACAAAATTAAGTATAGACCTCTTTATATTAAGCCGCAATGAGAAGATCCCAACAGATACTGGAGAGATTTTAAGTGATAAATAATCTAGATTGAAGGCAGAGTCTCTGGATGAACAGAACACATGACTAAGGACTGTTGTGGTGGTGGTGGTGCACTGTTTGGTTGGAAATGACCCATAGCTGACCCTCCAGGGGGGTTTCCGAGGCAATTAACCGCTCAGCAGGAGACTGCCCATTTTACTCCCATGGAGTGGCTGGTGGATCCAAAGTACATGCTTTTGGGATTCCAGTGCAACTTCTTACGACTCGGCCACAAGAGATTTGGGCTAAGCTAAGTCTAGCTAAGGACTAAGGGTGGAAAATTTTCCGCAGCAGTAGGAGGAATTGAGGAAGAACTAGATGAGTAAGATAAAGAGTAGTCTAGATGGAAAGGTAACTAGGACAGGTGAGAGGCCCAAGAATACCATGGTTTTACATTGCACTGTTGATCAGATATAGAAAATGGCGGACTCTGTGTTTAGTGCATAGGCCCTGACAGAGAACAGACATCCCAGGAACCTCCCACATAGAAGACTGAACCCTAACTGTACCTCCATATGTTCTTGTTCCTGCAGGACTTTGACATTGCTGGGCAATTTGACCCCATGATTCCTGATGCAGAGTGTCTGAAGATCATGTGTGAGATCCTGAGTTCACTTCAGCTGGGTGACTTCCTGGTCAAGGTCAGAGCCAAACTGGGCTGGGAAGACAAAGTTGAACCTGGCCTCTCACAAGAGAAGGGCTTTCTTTGTGCAGGGACCAGTAGTTCAAGTGACCAAGATTACTGAGGCTCATTGAAAGGAAGGACTTTCTTTCCTCGTTTCTTGTAGGTAAATGACCGGCGCATCCTAGATGGGATGTTTGCCATCTGTGGCGTTCCTGATACCAAGTTCCGTACTATCTGCTCCTCAGTGGACAAGCTGGACAAGGTACTAGCCCAACCACCTGGCTCTTCCTTTCCTAGATCCCACTGTGCCTTGGAAAAGGGAAAGCAAGATTAGGGGAAAGGTGCCACTCTCTCTGTCCATAAGAGGAAGATCAGCACAGGATGTAGCTTGAAGTACAGCTTTTCCTCTAGTGCTTTCCCAAAGGAACATCCACACTTGCTTTGCCATGATAAAGCTGCCCAGGGGTCTGACTGGTGTGTGTATGCCAGGTGTCCTGGGAGGAAGTGAAGAATGAGATGGTTGAAGAGAAGGGCCTTGCACCTGAGGTGGCTGACCGCATTGGGGACTATGTCCAGCAGCATGGTGAGTAACAGAGCCTAGCTTCCCAGTGTTGTCCTACTGCCTTCAGTCTTAGAATTGAGGCTCTTTCCTCTTCTCTCTCTCTCTCCCTCCCACCCCCAACATGCATGCAAAGTCTCTACCTTTCTCTTGTCAGTCAGTCTGGTTCATGAATTTGCACAGGTGGGGTATCCCTAGTGGAACAGCTGCTCCAGGATCCTAAACTGTCACAGAACAAGCAGGCATTGGAGGGCCTGGGAGACCTGAAGCTGTTGTTTGAGTACCTGACCCTGTTTGGCATTGCTGACAAGGTGAGTCAAGTTGAGGGAAGAGGGTGGTTCCTGCTAAAGAATAAGATTTCAGGTCCTTGATCTTCATCAGTATTGATCTTGACCTTTCCCTGCAGATTTCCTTTGACCTGAGCCTTGCTCGAGGACTGGACTACTATACTGGGGTGATCTATGAGGCAGTGCTGCTCCAGACTCCAGCCCAAGCAGGGGAAGAGCCTCTGGGTGTGGGCAGTGTGGCTGCTGGTGGACGCTATGATGGGCTGGTTGGCATGTTTGATCCCAAAGGGCGCAAGGTGCCTTGTGTGGGGCTCAGCATTGGGGTGGAGCGGATCTTCTCCATCGTGGAGCAAAGGCTGGAGGTAAGTCCTAGAGAATGGGTGGAGAAGTTCAGGCAGGACAAGTAAGTGACAGCAGCAGAGCTGTCTGAGTTCCAAGGAGGGCAGGTGCTGCTGCTTTCGTCAAGTCTGTGTCTGAGCTTCTGGGATCCCTCAGAGGCCTGCCTTGGTTCAGTACCCCTGTAATAATATTGTGGAAGCCCCACATGTTCTCAAGTCTTCCTTTGTTGCTCCTGCTCTTAACTGGCTGATGGCTTTCATCCTATCAGGGATTCACTGGCATTGACCTTCCTAAGTCTCATTTTCTTTCTCTAGGGTGTAACCACCCGAGTTTCCCAAATGAGGTCACTGTTCCAATAGGTATCTTATGTTGTTAATTATCTAGTGCTGACATCACAATTACCATAAGTGGGTGGCTTTAAAGAATAGAATTTTATTTTCTTACAGTTTTAGAGGCTAAAAGTTTAAATCATGATCTCTGCTTGGTAATTCTTTGTCAGTAACCCTAGGAGTTGTTCCTTGGTTTCTTAGAAAACATAAGAAATGAACTGATTGGCTTACACATGCTCCTGATTCATCTTCTCGTGTGTTAACCTTATTTCACACAAATAATGTGCATGTTACATGGTTGGTGTTTTTCAAACTACACAGCCTTTTCACATTAGTTTCATATACCCGCCATGCATTGTAATATGCATGAATGTATTATATATGAAAATACTGTGACCCTGTGTCTAATCTTCCCTTTTGGTAACTCAGGAGTGATTAGATTTATAACCCTATTGGGAATGATGGACCTAACATAAAATTAAAAAATGCTATTTCCAAACAGTATGATATCCATAAATATTAGAGGTTGAGATTCCAGCATATTTTTAGTAGAACAGTAGTCTGTAATAACCATGAAAATGCATTTTCCAAGAAAAGGGTCAACAGCTGCATTCTGCCTCCAATTCACACATATCATTGTGCCCTGAGGCTAAAATAGAAGAGACTACCTTTAATGGGCAGATGTTGGTATGTACCATCAACTCATAGCTGACCCTTCAGTGGGTTTGCAGAGGCAGTAAATCACACCGGAGGAGACTGCCCATTTTTCTCCCACAGTGTAGCTGGTAGATTAAAACTCCTATAACAGCACAGCACTTCCTTACCACTAGGCCACCAGAGTTCCCCTTAATGGACAGATAGTGAGTAGGAACTCAAACTGCCAGGGATAGTGTTAATTTCTCAAGGTTGGGTTAATAGTGTCTCTTTTGAGTGAATGTTATTTTGGGCTCTAGATTGAGATGTGCTCATGTTTATTGTAATTAAGCTACCTTTTCCCTTGTTCTCAAGGTCAAGTCAAAGTAGAAGCCAGTCAGTTACTTTTTTATGTTGTCTAAGAGCCTGCCTGTGCCTAGTTGCTAGATTACAAGAAAATTGGGTCCCTGTACTGGCGAGATCTAGTGGGTTGGACTAGGTCACTCAGAATCTTGCTATTTGAAGGTCCTATAAAGGCTAGCCCTGTTGTGACTCTAATCTGCCTCTTCCTCAGGCTTTGGAGGAGAAGGTACGGACCACAGAGACACAGGTGCTTGTAGCATCTGCACAGAAGAAACTGCTGGAGGAGAGACTGAAGCTTGTGTCAGAGCTATGGGATGCTGGGATCAAGGTACAGGAGGCAGGTCCCAGGTGGTAGCAAACTTATGAGTATGGGCTCAGGCTGAGTAGAAGTTAATATCTAATGATTCCTGCTGTTACTTTGATTTCTTGAAGTAGAGCTAAGAGCAAGGTGGGCACCCAGGAAATTTTTCTTGAGGGCAGGAAATGCCAGCCTTCATCTGTCCTGGTCCCCTGCAGGCTGAACTACTCTACAAGAAGAACCCAAAGTTACTGAACCAGTTGCAGTACTGTGAAGAGGCTGGCATCCCACTGGTAGCCATCATTGGAGAACAAGAACTCAGGGATGGTGTCATCAAGCTCCGTGCAGTGGCTAGCAGGGAGGAGGTGAGGGGGCAGGCAGGATGGCTGAGGAGAGGGAATGAATTCCTTATCAGCAGGTCTGTGCCCATCTAATACTTAAACAAATGCCTGGTCTTCATATTGCTACCCACTCATAAAGGACTTACTGGCCTAAAACACTATCTATACTCAATAGGTAACATGTTATTGTGCTACCATAGGGTAAAATCTGTATCACTCTATACACAGTGTCTTTCTGGTTCCCCCCAAGAGGCACTGTCTATCATGGGATTCCTGCTGAGCCAAGACTCATGACTAGGAGAAAGTGTGGGTGCTCAGGGAGCTGTAGAGATGCTTACTCCACTTTCCCCTCCTTCTCCCAATCTGACCAGGTGGATGTCAGAAGAGAAGACCTTGTGGAGGAAATAAAAAAGAGAACAAGCCAACCCCTCTGCATCGGCTGAACCAAGAGCTATCAGAGCAAAATGAGACTGGCACTATTTGAAGCTAAGACAACACTCTGTATATGTACTTTAGCTGTTTTACGTATTTATGTTCCAACAGCAATCTCTGAAGAATGGTCAGAGCAGAGACTTTGTAATATTATTATTTTACTGATAATGACTGGCAAAAATGGCCAGGTGTTACATAATTTTTCATGAGGGACCTGGAGGCCTAATGTGGCCAGTGTGCCTCTACTACCAGGCCTCATACTACATGGAAGGATGCCTCCCCACAAGCAGTTGCCTTGGTCTAATAAAAATTCCTCAACTACTGAAGCCTGTTTGTGTCACTGGTCCCTAGCCCTGCCTTCCCCCATCAAAGCCTGGGCTTCCTCTCCTGCAGGCCATGTTAGTGGTAGAAAATGGGAATAAAGGCTAGTAGTAGGCCCTTGGCCAGAGTAAAGAAGGGCCGACTAATGTCCACTCAGTATCAGTTCTTAAACCACTTTTTAGGTTGCCTACTTACCGACTGACACAACTTGGGGCTTGGTTTTCACCTGCCGCTCCAAGGCGCACGTGCGGTGGATATCCCCACCCCATGGGGGCGGGATTGTGCACAGAACCAATGAGAGCTTGGGGGATGGAAAGGCAGGAAGCTTCCAGAGGCCAGGGAAGAAGTTACAGGGAGAGTACGGGGCGGGCTGGCGGCCGAGCCATGCAGTCTAAACGGGAATACGAGGTAAGTATCCTCGGAGGAGTACCCCCACCCTTCACTTGCGCAGGGCAAGGAGGGAGTCTCAGAAAACCCAGCCCCACAAACCAAGCAGGGGTGGTCTGGGCGAGCTACCGTTCCATTCTGCACCTTCTCTCTCAGCTGTGGTGTGAGAAGGTGAATCCTGAGAACAAGGCGGCGCTGGAGGCGTGGGTCAGGGAAACTGGCATCCGACTGGTGCAGGTGAACGGGCAGAGGAAGTACGGCGGGCCACCCCCAGGTACGGTAGCCAAGGGCCCCTTTACCTTATGGGCTACTCCTGTGCTATTCCAGCTCTTAGGGCCCCCGACCAGTCCCTTTTCGGGGGAGGGGCCTGCGCTGAGACTGCACTGCTTAAAACCCCTAATTGTTGAGATTGATTGTACCCTCAACACTTGAGAACTACTTGTCTCGAGCTCTCCAGCCATCTGTCCCCACTAGAAAGCGAGTCAATTCTAAGGTATGCGCATTCAGTATCAACCTACAACCTCAGTCGCTGGGTATGGATGTTGTATCCATTTCACAGACAGTTGCACACGCATATAATAATAAATTCGCTTCTCCGCTGGGTCATTGGGCCCTGAACCCTGGAAAATCACGATGAGTAACAGTGAACCCCCTCTTTCTGCCCTCTTCCAGGCTGGGTGGGCAGCCCGCCGCCGGCCGGGTCGGAAGTGTTCATTGGCCGGCTGCCCCAGGACGTGTATGAGCACCAGCTGATCCCACTGTTCCAGCGCGTGGGCCGCCTCTACGAGTTCCGCCTCATGATGACCTTCAGCGGCCTGAACCGCGGTTTCGCCTACGCCCGCTACAGCTCTCGGCGCGGTGCGCAGGCCGCCATTGCCACGCTGCACAACCACCCCCTGCGGCCGTCCTGCCTGCTGCTCGTGTGCCGCAGCACCGAGAAGTGCGAGCTGAGCGTGGACGGGCTGCCTGGGGCGCTCACCCGCCGCGCGCTGCTGCTCGCGCTGCAGCCGCTGAGTCTCGACCTTGAGGAGGCGCTGCTGATGTCCAGCCCCGGGCCCACGCCCACGCAGATCGCGTTGCTCAAGTTCAGCTCGCACCGCGCCGCTGCCATGGCTAAAAAGGCCTTGGTGGAAGGTACAGTTATAGCTTAATGGGTGGCTAAGGTTGGGATCAAGTTGGTTCAGCGAGTCGCTGGGTTAACTTACCAGAATAGCTTGTCAGTTTGCAAGTCTCTGTGCAAAATGTTCTTGCGCGTTTGCCACTTTACACTATTTTCACACCTGCTACCCCAAATCAAAGTAACATTTCTAATGCATTACTATCTCCAGATTTAGTCTACATTCCAAATGTGATAATTGTGTACCTGCTGAACTGACTCATAGCTGAACCTCCTAAATTTTAGATAGCAGGGAGATTGCCCATCTTTCTCCCCTCCTAGCAGCTGGTAGATTTGAACCTAATGCCCTTGGGGCATAGTTTCTTACCTTTAGCTAGTCACATTCCTGCTTTAGAAGTGTTTAAAGAATGGACTTGCCAGAGGCAATCGAGCTGAGCTTTGTATTCATTGTAAAACCAGGTTCTTAGCACCTCTGTGACAGTGGCCAGAGTCCTTAACACTTCCTGATTCAAAGCCCTCAGTAGATGCCATCTGGGAAAATGCTAATGAAGTACTGCTGCCACCACCTACCTACACTCCAAGGAATCTTAGAAGGCAATTAATGCCTGCAGACATTCCAGATAGAAATGGGTAGAACTGGTCCCCCTGATCTGCAGGAACAGTCTCCTCTGGTGGGATTTACTGCTTCTGAAAACCCACTGGAGAGTCAGCTGCTAGTCAGTTTGAAATCAGCAGTGCACAACAGTAAAAAGGAATTAAATCTAGACCTGTGTGACTCCAGGGAATCTGGCCTAGGTTTAGCCAGGTCTTATTTCTGACTTTTTATTATAGGACAGTCGGCCCTCTTTGGAGAGCAGGTGACTGTGGAGTGGCTTAAGCCAGAATTGAAGCAGCAGCTCCGCCAGCAGCTCATGAGTCCATCACTGCAGTGTCTACAGCCAGAAAGCAGCCAGTCAGCCCTGGCCAGGGACAAGCTGGGGCCGCGAGCTGCCCTGCAGTTACTGTGCCAGCGGATGAAGCTGGGCAGCCCTGTGTTCCTCACTAAGTGCTTAGGTACAGGTCCTGCCGACTGGCACCGCTTCTGGTACCAGGTGGTGATCCCTGGGCATCCATTGCCCTTCAGTGGCCTTATCTGGGTTGTGCTGGCCCCAGATGGGCATGATGGGCATGAAGTGGCCAAGGATGCTGTGTCTGCACGATTGCTGGAAGCACTGAGTGAATCTGGCACCAGCTTCCTTTGCTCTGCCGGGTCTGAGGCAGGTACCCACGGTTAAGCAGTGACCCTCTCTTCTCTTTACAGGCAGCCTGAATAGGTAGAGCTTGTGTCTATCCCCAGCCCAGCAGGCCTGGGTGGCCACTATATCTAAGCCCAAAATGGGGAGGGACTTGTGCCTTTACCCCAAAACCTGTGAAATGCTCCCCTGCTGGGGCAGCGCCCACAGCACCACCTAGGGGCAGCATAGGTTTAACCAAGTTGTGAGCCTGATCTTGTGATCTTCCACTTGTTTCTATGTATACACATACACCCCCTCCTCCTTCCCACCGTTTTACTATGAATCTTTCTTAGCAGTAATTTTTTTTTTAATTTATTTTTTTTTTTATTTGGGGTCTGGGTGAGCAAAAAGATCAGAAAATCTGCCTTTTGCCCCATTACCTGGCATTCAAGTTTTGGTTTATGCATAGTAGTTTTTCTATGCTGGTTGTATTTATATTAAACCCCTGGTTGGTAAACATGCGTCTGTGTCTGTGCTGCTTCACACTGGTAGATTAAGCCAGCTTTTATGGGGCAAGGACCTTCCCCACTACAACTGCTCAGAAGCTTTTGTCCATGTATCTTCCTGAGCTGCACAATGGAAAAAACACTGCAGCTCTGGGTCTCCAGGGTAGATGCTCCTTGACATTTTCTTGGCTGTGATCTTTTCAGAGGCAGATGTCAGGGTCTTTGTTTCAGAGCACCACCACTCAGAGTAGATCTGAATTGCCAGCCTTCAGGTTAGTAGTTGAGCACACAAACCTGGGAGCAGCTGCACAAAGGTATTATAAACACACAGCCTCTGGGTCCAGCACAGGAAGCAGGATGCTTGCCTCGTGAATAAGGATCAGTCTGTCCTGAGTCAGCTGATAATTTCAGTCACTGTCCTCACTCTCCTCTTCCTCATGTGTAACAGAATCCTCTTCCCTCAACCCTGCAAAGAAATCATCTGTGCTCCAGGCTTTACTGCTCAGGGCCTTCAGCGGCCCTCCCTTTTTCTTGCGCCGACGATAGTCATCTACCACTACAGCCCGCAGCTGGGTCATGTCCCAGAACTTGAGCCGCTGGTCATGGCCACTGCTGGCCAGAAATCGGCCACAGTGGGAGAGGGCCAACTCCTCCACAGGTTCCCCAGCATGCTGGCCCACAGAGCCCACCACTCGGTTCGGCAAGATGTTCACAGCCCTGGGTGGAGAAAGGAGTGTTAAGAACTGGCTAGTTTGACCTGACCTGCCCTTCTGATCTCGGGGCACTGCTGGCTTCCTTTACCTGATGACCCCATCCGTGGAGCCAGTGCACAGCAGACTCTCAGTGACCGGAACCATGCAGTCAATGGACTCTGCTCTCAGGGCAAAGCGATCACTTGTGGCCCCAAAGCCATTCCAGTTGAAGAGGTAGATGGTACCTTCACTGGAGCCACAGGCAACCTTCTTCCCACACTACAAGGTGATAATACAGACTGAGACTGTGAAGCCATATGGACCCAAAGCCCTGCGTAGCCCATCCTACCATATGCAGCTATACCTTCATGAGGTTTACAGAGGTCAGGTCCCCAGACTGCGGCTCTGACAGCAGCTCAAACCGGTGTCGCTTGATGTTGAAAACGCCAAGGCAGCCATCTCCACTGTGGAGAGAGAGCACTAGGCTTGACTAGAAGCTCACTTTGAGGAAGACTTCTAACATGACGAGAAGAAGGGAAGTGGATTTGACATCGTACCTAGCTGTTAGTAGCAGTTTCTTGTCTGGGTCCAGAGCCATATCTGCAATGTACTCCTCATGCTGTCGCATATCCATGAAGGGGCCCTCCTTCCGCTGGTCCCAGAGCCGGATGCTGCCTGTGTCATCCCCCGTAGCCAGGATGTTCTCATCCACCAACAGCAAACTGTTGATAGGGGAACTAAGGACACAGATGTAAAATTTTTCAGAACTACTAGGAACCCTCCTGGTCTACATCCCTCAACTGTTGTCTGCATATACACACACACACACACAGTTGATTTCCCTTACCCATGAGCCTTAGAAATGCGCCTCTCCAGTCGGCCTTGCTCCACATCAAGAAAATGAATGGCTTTGTCTTTGGAGACTGTGACAAGTTCTAGGGGAACAATGTGCACAGGTCATGATGCTGCTTACCACTACCTGCCCACCCCTGGCTGCATCCCCTAGGACTCACTCTGCCCATCTTCAGAGAAGACCACAGCCCGGCAAGACTTGAGATGGTGGCCTGAGGACCAAAGCTCTTTGGTTTCTCCTTCTTGGCAAGAATATGAAAAACTGAGGGGAGAAGTTTGAGATTAAGTTTTACCATTTTTGCCTCTAAGAAATATGACTGGTGATACTCCCTACAAGTCAGACTTATTTGTTCTTTTGTCAGACCATGGGATATTCTATAATCTCCAATTCCACATTCAAAAGAAATTATTCTCCTTCTATCAGTCATCCTTCACCATCTAACTCTTTCATGCACGTGGAGCTGCCTTTACCAGAGGTCTGGTGCTGCCTCTGGTGCTCTGAATCCACCAGATGCCCCAAGGGAGAAAGATGAGCATTTGCCTCCCATGTAAACTTCTGAAAACTGGTTGGATGATCAGCTATGAGTCAGTTCTGACTTGATGGGGCACATTAACAACAATTTCCCAATTAATAAATACTAACTTCTCACTATAACTGTTTAAAAGAAATAAAGGATATCCGCCCCCCCCCTTCTCTTTTTGCCTTTTATGCCTAGCCAAATGTTGTTTAGTAACCTAAAGAACTTCTCAGTTGAAGCTTGGAACTGACTAACGTCCTTATCAAAGTTGCTCAATAATTTAAAGAACTCATTACTTGAAGCTTTCCCTTACCCTATCCCACAATCCTACACTCAGGAATTATTCCTTTTTTGGTCCTAAAACATTTGAAGGTCCCAGGTATCTCAGGCTTCCACAAGGTTAAGTCTACTTGCCCAGAATTCTCACCAGGTCCAGACATTTAGACAAGAAAGATACTGCAGGAATTGTCATTCTCCACGGAGAGGCAGATTTGGGAAGCCCACACTCCCTGCCTTTCACTTGCCTCATGTCAATAAAGTTTCTGCTTTTTCCACTCTTACCCCTCTCTCCAAGATTGGGTTACTGGTGGCAGATGCCAGGACCATGTTTCTCTGGTAACAGTTCCACCACACTTTCTGCTGTCTAGACTCCTGACAAACCCCATATATGTCACACAACTGTGATCCAGAGGGTTTTCAACAGCAAGCCTTTCTTTCTCTCTAAGTGCTTCTGGGGAGATTCGAACCTCCAAGCTTTCAGTTGAGCACGTTAATACTTTGTATCACTCAGGGCCGCAATCTGATTAAATCACTGTAAAGGAACCTGGTGCCAGGGCAGTACCTAATGTTGTTGTTATGTGCTATAGTGACCCTTTGTACAACAGCTCTGAATCTTGCCCTATCCTAAGCCACTGTGTCAGACAAAACCCACCCGTTACCCCAGTTACTGTGCAACCCATCTCATCCAGAGTCTTCCTCTCCTTTGCTGTCTTTCCACCCTTCCAAGCATGATGTCCTTCTCCAAGGACTATCCCCTCCTGCCAATATGCATAGAATATGTGAGACGAAGCTTCAAAGTCCTTGCCTCCAAGGGACAGCCTAGTTTCCCCCTCTCCAGGATAAATCTGTTTGTTCTCTTGGTAGTCCATAATATGTTCAATAATCTTTTCCAACACCACAATTCAAAGGGATCAATTATTCTTCTGTCATCCTTAGTAGCAAGTAGTGCAAAGACCATGGCCTGAATCAGGTACACCTTGAAGACCATGCATGGCCTGAATCAGGTACACCTTAGTCTCCAGACTGACATCATTGCTCTTTAGCACTTTGGAGAGGTTCTTAACAACAGCTTTTCCTTGGGCAAGTCTTTTAATTTCTTGGCTGCTAATGCCAAAGTGATGATTGTGGATCCGAGCAAGCTGAAACTGTTAACTATACCAATCTAAGGTAACCTAATTTAGTTTGAGCATGGAGGATAAGGGAAGAGAAGAACTAAAGGACAGTAGGTGTTGTGTCAAGGGTTTATTGTTCAAAATGGGTTTCCAAGCCATTAACTTTGACTTTGCCACATGGATGGGTGGGAATCACACAAATAGGACGTGTAAATCTATCCACAAGGGGATTGGCTAGTCTTGCCATTAAATTGAGTGGATTCAGAATGCAGTGTGCAACCTTGGGGCCAAAGAGTCCAGTACCATTCAGATCAGGGCTTACAAGAACATCAAGAGCAGTTGCAGCACAGAACCAGAGCCCTGATGTAAGGCAGAGAGATGACCTTAAGCTTGGCGGAGGACTTGGGGAAAGACACCTTAATTGGCAAGATTAAGAGAGTCTTGTAACACTAGCCTAAAGTCACAAGGCTGAAGGCTGAGGGGCCTGTGAGCACACTTTAGAAGCTGTCCTGACTGAGAGATAGTATCAGCATGATATATATAGCCTGTCAACATCCCTGATAAACCCCATAATCATGAATATGGATCTGTGAAGTATATATAGCTATCTAAACAGATTTCAGACCGAGGAAGGTAGGATTGATGCTGGAATTAGTAGAAAAAGGTACAGGAGTGTGTGAGGGCTTGTTTGACCACATGGGAATTAGTTTCGTATTGTGGATGCTGCTGACAGGAGCAATTAGCTCCTGTGGAGTTAGGAGAGGTCAGATATGGCCATACTCAACTTGCCCTTTTTACAGTAGGTACGACTGGAGGAAGACTCATCAACAACCTCCGTTATGCAGATGACATAACCTTGCTTGCTGAAACTGAAGAAGACCTGAAGCACTTGCTGCATAAGGTCAAGGACTATAGTCTTCAATATGGATTAAAGCTTAACATCAAGAAGACAAAGATTCTCACCACTGGGCCAACTGGCAGCACCATGATAGATGAAGAGATTGAGGTTGTTAACAATTATGGCCTGCTCTGCTCCACAGTCAACACTCTTAACACCAGCAGTCAGGAATAAAAAGACGAATTGCATCAGGAAAATCTGTGGTCAGGGACCTCTCCAGAGTGCTGAAAAGCAATGAGGTCAGCCTAGAAACTAAGGTGCACCTAATCCAGGCCATGGCCTTCTCAATTACTTGCTATGTGTCAGAAAGCTGGGCAATGACTAAGGATGAAAGAAGAAAAATCAAAGCCTGAGAATTGTGGTGCTGGAGAAGAGTCTTGAAAATATCATGGACTGGGGAGCTCTGGTGGCCTAGTGGCAAGAAGCTGCACTGCAATCCCAGAGGAACACTGTTCGAATCCACCAGATGCTCTGCCGGAGAAGGAGGCGCAATATCCTCCTGTACCAGTCAGATCTGATTTGACGGTACATGCACACAAAATAATAATAAAGAAAAAAAAAAAGCTTTAAAAAAAAATATCATGGACTGCCAAGAAAACAAGTAGGTCTGTCTTGGAGAGGGTGAAACCAAGTTTTTCCTTGAAGGCTAGGATTTTGAAACTCCATCTCATATACTTTGGGCACATGGACCAGTCCTTAGAGAAGGACATCATGCTTGGAAGAGTGGAGGGGCAGCGCAGGAGAGGAAGACCTCAGATGGGATGGATTGATACATTAACTGAGGCAATGGGAGTAGATGTGTCAGAATTAGTGAGATTGGCTCAGGACAGAGCAGGGTTCAGAGCTGATATACATAGGGTCACTATGGGTCGCAGGCAACTTGATAGTACATAACAAGATAAGGACAAATTTTTCCAACAGAAAGGAACCAATGCTTCAACATAAAAGATGAGGATGAATAAGTACAAAGCAATGGAGAGAGCAAGTAAAGGAACTATAATTGGCTTTGAAAGCAGAAATAAGGAGTTTAGGGAGCTCTGGTGGCCTAGTGGCAAGAAGCTGCAACTACAATCCCAAAGGTGCACAGTTCGAATCCACCAGATGCTTTGCCGGGGAAGGAGGGGCAATCTCCTCCTGTACCAGTCAGATCTGATTTGATGGTACACGTACACAAAAATAATAAAATTTTAAAACAAACAAACAAAAAAAAAAAAAAAGAAATAAGGAGTTTAAATTTAATCCTAAGAACCGAGCTAAGCTATTAAATATTTTGTTTCCTTTTGCCAATTTAGGTAATTCAGTGACGCTGATGTATTCTTCATCGTGTAGAACCTTTATCACTATCCTGTTCCAAATGATGCCACTAACCATTAACATAAACTCAAATCATTGCCCTTGAGTCAGAAAAGACTCATAGCTGATCCTTCAGCAGATTTTAAAGGCTGCAAATTGCACAGAAGTTTTGCTTGTCTTTCTCCCATGAGCAATTGGTGGATTTTAAACACTTATCCTTGGGCTGCCAGTGCAGCTCCTTACCTACATAGGTTCCCTTTTAAGAAAAGAGGTCTTTTTAACCACCAGAGGACCCTTAACACAATTTTCCTTGCCCCTTCCTGGTAATTATTAATATGATGTTTCATTTAAGTATGATCATACTGTATATTTTTCTTTAATAAGTGAGAGACTTTACTCAGTATGATGCATTCAAGGTTCAGTCATATGGTATTTAACAGTACCTCGCTTTTTTTTTATGACTGAATTTTCAACATATATATACACACTTTTTTTAAAAAATTCATCGGCTGATGGGAATTTAGGTTGCTTCCACGTTTTGGCCATTGTTGATAATGCTGCACAGACTATCTGTTGGACTACTGAAGGATTCAGTCAAAGAATTGGCTGAAGGGATTTGTGTTTTTAAAAGATTAAAGAGGCCCAGAGCAACCCAGTTTTGTGAAGGCTCTGTGTGCGCCCTGGCAGAGCCCTCCCTGCCAACAGCATGCCCAAGAGGAAGGTCAGCTCCGCAGAAGGGGTGGTGAAAGAAGAGCCCAAGAGGCAAGGCCTGCAAAAGTGGAAATGAAGCCCAAAAAGGCAGCAGGAAAGGAGAAGTCTTCTGACAAAAAAGTGCAAACAAAAGAGGAAGAAGGCTGAAGCCGCTAACCAAGAAACTAAAGATGTACCTGCAGAAAACAGAGAAACTAAAAACGAAGAGAGTCCAGCCTCTGATGAAGCAGGAGAAAAAGAAGCCAAGTCTGATGAATATTTGTCTACCATGTTTTTTATCAGTGGTCCCTGTATCTCCTTTTTTGTACAGTCCAGAGGGATATTTTTATCAACTATTTTGTAAATGCAAGTGTTTTAGTAGCTCTAGAAACATTTTTAAGAAGAAGGAAATCCCACTTCATCCCATGTTTCAGTGGAAATGCTTTTTTTTTTTAAGAGGTGAGATCATTTGCTGGTTCTTTATTTTTTGGTACAGCCAGAAAATGTAGGATGTTAAAATTGTGGGGGAGCTTTGGATGTCAGTGTAACATTCCATGGGGAAAAGGGACAGTTTTTATATCCCATAATACATAGCACAGTTAATGACAATCTGGAGTCTGTCATGCACTTATGACTTGAATATTTTAAATTAAGTCTATTTTCCATGTTTTTTGGATTCATAAATTAGAACACTGTTTAGTAAAATTTCTTAAACATAACCACTCCCTCTTCATGGCTTTTTCCCTGTCAGAACTATGTAGATTCTGTTAACATCTTTGGTCTTGGTAGTCATAACTTTGTTATGTGTTGTGAATGGTTGAAAATTTAAATATGTAGTGTGTGTGTGATAGTAAATTGTGTATTAGTGGGATTTAATGATGTGAGAGTTTATCAACAATTGAAGATAGTGGTACTTGTTTCCTTCTTTATGAAAACTTTCCTCCAAATGTAAAGCTGAAGGTCACTGGAATTTAGAAAAGAATTATAACTTCATGGCTTTTTAGATTTTTGGTATGTGCATTAAGAATTGTGTACAGGTTGTTCATAATGTGTCTTTACTGGCCCTTAAAACAACCAATAAAATACAAATCTTGTGGTGCAACCACTGGAAGGCTGTATGGCGCTTTCTCAAAAAGTTGCAAATAGAGATACCATTTGACCCAGCAATTCCACTACTGGGAATATACCCTGAAGAGACCAT